TTAATTCATCGGGCAGTAAATCAGTAAATCTTCTTCACTTTAAGCAGCACATCTGTTCCCGCAACTCGCATCTATCAAATGCTCAATGCTGAGAAATGCTCAAACCTCCCTTCGACCGGTCTTTGACAGATGTGCCTGTTTTATTTTTTGACACCCTGAAGAGCCTGCCAATTTACCTCACAAGTTTACCCCTGCAGCAGAGCAGGAAAACATGGACAAGGGCAGACTTATCGGGTAGAGAAACATCCCACCTCCATGGCAATTCCTGTTTTTCATAAAGCAATACTATGCAACTTCTGAAAGAAGTAATAACACTTCTGCCTCTTGCAGATGAAATGTTGAATTCCTCAGCAATAAAACCACCTTTGCGAAATCCATTACATTCAGGGGTTTTGCTAATGCTGCTGCATGAACAGACGATACAGTCATTTTACTCATGTAATGACTGTTCTCTGTGTGTTCTCGTCCATACAGAGTTCCTACAGCTTAAGGAAAGTTAGATTTAACACTTTTTAAGACTTCTTTAATGCCACTTGGAATTAAGTGGAAGACCAGTAGTACAACCCCCCTGTTTTTCAGTGAAAAGTATAATGATCCACTTAAATATTGAAAAAAATAATACATTTTCTAGGCATCGCAGAGACGATGGTCAAAGCTGGGAAACTGGGAAATTTGTTGGCGGGTTTTCTTGGCGATTTTGTGTTTCACACTTTGCATGTGGGATTCCATTGCCTTATTCCCAATATGCTGAGTTTGAAAAACTTTTGCAAAAAATACACCAAGCCTCTTATGCACTGCCTTGTACCAGGGAATTCTTGATCAAAAAGCCAGTTTTCATTGAAATTGCATTTCCTCATGTCATCCAGAAAACAGTGACAGCAAGCTAGCAGACAGTCGATGAGCATCCTGGCCAGAAAGAAAATATGAGCATTGCTGGTTCCACTATCCTGATTTACATGGTCTTAATGCAAAAGGCATTTGGTAAATTATTTAATTTCAATAGACGTCACCAATTATTTTGAGATTTTACAGTGCAACGTCCAAGAAAAACAAGAGAATCCTAATTTCCATGTCTTAACATTTCTTGGACTTCTGACAGATTGATTTAAGACATTATAATACCAATTAATTATAAACTTTTAGGTTAATGAAGTCAGTTCCCTTTAAGGATTTTCAAGGGTTTGCGGGAATCCTGTTATATCTTTGACTTTTGGCCACAGTGGCTGCCGTTAACATGATCCTGCGGTCTTGCAAATCTTGCTGCCTTGCAAGGTGAGATGATTTGGGCAGACATGGAGGAGGAGAGTGAAGTCCAAATTACAGAATACAATACAGAAACTGAAATTATTTTATTTAACCTTCCAGATTCAAAATAGCTTTACTGTTTTGATTCTTCCATTTTTAGCTCAATTGTGTTACGTAAGATTTTTTTTTGTGTGTGAAAGTTTCAAATAAAGAAGAAAATAATAAAAAGGTGGTGAAGCATATTATGGTTATTTAAAACCATTTCTGAATTAAATACTAAATGCTGTATAGTGATAATACTGTTACTTACTGTGATATAAAATTATATATACTGTGACAGAAGATTGTACAAAGGTAGTTGATTGGTTGAAATTTTCTGAGACAGTATTTTCTGTTGGTTTTGGATGCACTGATTTGATCAGATCAGCACATGAGCAGGGTAATGCTTCAAATATGAAGCACTATATGTTATCTGAATGTGACTAAATGGTAAGACTTTAATTATATTCCTGTGACTGCATTTTCCAAAACTGTTGATGCATAATTTATAGGCAGGAGAGTGACTGAAGACATAGAACTGCGTCTTTCTTCTGCCACTTCCCTTGATCTTGAAAACTCCTACAGTCACACACTAAAAAGTCCTATTAACAGAGGAAAATGTTATGTAAATGTCAACTTGTGCAGAATAACAACTATAACTCAGTATCTGTGAAATTCCTTCTTCAGCACAAATCTGCATGCCTAAAAGAGGACAAGCAACAAAGCAAAAACAAAAAAGGGTACAAAATCTCTAGGGCAAAGAAAAAACGTCACTTTTATCGAGACTGCTCACAGGAAAACACCCACGCTGCTTAAGGCGGGAAGATGCAACGGCTGCAGACAGCTGTGTACATGAGGAAGATACCTACGCCAGAGTGTGTCTGCGGTTTGTTGATTGCATCTCCATCATAAGATAACAGAGCTGCAGGCTAATGGAGCTTGCTGAAGAAGTGCCTCATGCTCTGTCAGTTTTTCATTACCACTTCACTCAGTCTTACGTAGGACCCCTCGCTATTGATAATTACTGATGCTACGCCGATCTTTCAGGATCCATAATCGGCTGTTTTTCCACTTCAGGGAACTAAAAACACCACCTCCAACCCACCCACCCACCCACCCCTCACCGATCCCCCTGTTCCTCCCAATCCATTTCTCTGTTGACTGAGCGGTGCAAAACACCAGCTTAATGACATGATAGGATGCACGTTGACTTCAAAAGCACTTGTTTCCCAGCAAGCACCACAGGTACGACGGAAGAGCTTTTGTGTGATCAGACCTTGTTCAAGGATGTCATAATCACTAGAAGATTTAGGATTGAATAAAGACAACAAGTTACACCATTAACTCCAGAATTCATATTAAACATCTTGTCTGCTAAGTGTCAAAAGCATATGAAGGGTTTGACAGATTAACAATTGTATCCACATTTCATTCTTTTTTAAAAATCTGTTATTCAAATTTGATTGCTTTGAAAATGCCACTGCACATGACTGGAATGGCAGGCAATCCTTTAAGAAATGTTGACAAGCTAATTATCGAGTAGCCCTGTCACAGGCAGGCGGAGAGGTTAAAAATAAAGTTCACACCACCCTCATTATGTAAACAATCACAGTCAGTGGTGCTACCCTCGCACCCCTATAGACTACAGCTGGCGGAATTTAATAAGAAGGCCACGCTGAGTGTGTGAGACGAGAAGGTTTGAGGGGTTGTGAAAGGCATGTGAGAATGTCGTGTGTTCCTGTGGATCTGCATCCAAACCAAAGGCAGGGAACATAAAAATAGAGACACAATACAGACAACACCTTTTTTACTGGCAGTAATGGTGACATGAGACGCCAACATGCATCTCTCCTCAGATCACTTGGAAATATCACTTATATTAACTGTTCATTAACACAGAAGAAAAAGCTGCTAATAACAAAGCTTCAGTTTATAGCTCAGCCAAAAGATGTCACCCATAACGTCACCCCCTGTGAAAACAACAGTCTGGTAAGTGTTGAGGAGACACAGGAGAGAAAGCCAGCAACCACACACACACTCACACACACATACACACGACTCATCCCCTCTGCGCAAGCACCACACTGAGGTCTAATCGATGCAGCTCATTCATATTGAACCACAGACGTCAGGGGAAGCCGGGGGAATTACAAGCAGCCTCTGCTGTGAGATCGCAGCCTAGAGGAAGCCTGAGGAAGATAAAGCCAGCTTCGCTCCAGAAACCTGCCGTTTACTGTCCACGGCATTTTCAACAACATGGCTACTGGGTCTCCTCGCTCCACAGGCAGTGACACTGAACAGGAACAACAGGACTTCACCCATATATACACATGTAGGTCATGTTTTGGGTATTTAAATGTTATCTCAGCTATGAGAAAATTAACCATCTAACCCCAGTAGATGGGTTCCTTCAGTGCTCAGTAGTAGCATCAACATACAACACAATGTGTTGACAGAGAGCAAATGGACTGGATGGGAAATGGACTTGCATTTGTACAGCGCTTCCAACCACTCAAAGTGCTTACATTACATGCCACCCATTTACACACACTTCCATACACTGATGGCTGAGGCTAACATACAAGGTGCCACATTCTCATCATTCAAGCACACAGTATCTTGCCCAAGGATACTTCCACATGCAGACTCTCGTGCATGTCTGCATGTTACACCTGACATGCAGACTGGAGGAGCTGGGGATCGAAACTGCCAATCTTCCGATGAGTGTACAACACATTCTACTTCAGCCACCTCAGGAAACCAGTATCATCCAAAATGAAAAGACCAATCTATTGTTTGAAAATGTGTTAAAGATTGCATCCATATATTTTTGAAAAACAATTAAATTTCACTTCAGAACAACTAACGTACTATTTCTGATGAGCAGCAGGGCCAGATTTAACCACTAGGAGGGCAGACATGGTATTTAAACTTCAATTTCACTGAGGGCCCCTGGACAAATCAGGATGTCAAGATAACTGTAGGTCAAAATTTAATTTAATTTAACAACTTACTGATTAATGAAATTACCAAAAATTGCTACACAGTGAACCGGGGGGGCATTGGGGCCAGCATGGGTTGCCTGCTCTGTATTGATGGTAAGCCTTGATGAGCATCCATGTTGCCGAGATTTTAATGTATACATATAGTTCATATCACAGCCTCCCTTCCTCTAAAAAACAGTAAATATCTTTTATATCTTTTCTTATATATCTCTTACATATATTTTTTAATCATAAGCTAATAATTAATGAGGAAAATATGGATGATTTCATGTCTGCATTTTAGTAACTTAAAAAGTAAAGTACGCTAAGTCAGCCAACGGGCCAGTCTGCCAACAACTTCCCTCCTCCTCAAGCAGGGATGAGGTGAACACACACGCCTAACCTAAGAGCCATTGTTTCCTGACTTTTTCCTGACACAGTCAGTGGTCATTAAACACAGAGACAACTGCCACTTTCACCCCAATTAATCCCAATGGTGACTCTAAATGAGCGCAGGCAGAAGCGAGCACAGCTCATTTCAAAATTAAACCAACAACTGGAGGAGAAATAACTCGTGGTTCACAAGTTCACAATCTAAAGCAGAGAGAGGAACATGAAAGCTAGACAATGGCTGAAAGCAAATGCCTCCACAGCAGTCTTCAGCTGCCCCTAATGGACCATGCCAGCCCAGCATCAACAAGTCTTTATCTCCATTACACACAGAGAACTCACCAGTAACTTCTGCTTTTGCCTTTGGTGGCTCAGGGTCTCCGGGTTGAGTCTCAGAGCTCCGCTGTTGTCCTCTAGAAGATGAAAGCTGTCCAAACGCTGCACACCTGGGAGCTGGAGGGGCAAAACTTCATTTCTCAGCTGTGGGGAAAAAGAACATAAGAAAGCATTTCATTCAAATTAATACAGTGATAATAATACTGTGCATTTTTTAGGGAACAAAACCATTTCCCAGTGGTTAGTCATCAATAGAATAACAATGGCAGTTTTACAGTTTGATGGAGCAGCTTTTGTCTGTCTTATTCCAAATAACCCTTCAACACTGCTGGTCCCACTGGTGATGAAATCTGCTGGCACTCCATCTCTAAGTGTAGGTGAGTGGCCGCTCAGAGTCAGCAGGTGGTCTGAGTGGAAAAACAGCTAACAGCAACACTCATGCAGTGCAAACAGCGTGTTCTCGCTCCATTCATCTCCACAGTTTCAATCTGACAATAGAAGGTATGAAGTGTCTACTGACTACCTGCCCGCCTGCTGCCTTGTGCACACGTTGGACGCAGCATTCCACTAAACTTGAAAATAAAGTCAGTGGTGTGCAATCTATTTTTTTTTAAAAATCACAGATGAAAATAGAAAAAATAATGTTTCCATAATGGATGAGCTGTTAAATTCAATTTTAAAAAGTCCCGATGGACTGTGCTTATTAATCTGTGCATGTCACATGACATGAACTGATTGGTGACTTGATGATATTATCCCAATCATCCAGATGTTTCACACAGCTCTGTTTACTCGCATCACAAAATCTGCAGACAGACAAATAAGCAACATGTTGACCAAGTGTATCAATGAAAAATAACACTTAAGCACTCATTCAACCAGATACTTACAAACCCACACAAGTATAAGATGCCAACAAGGTAAAATAACATCCTCTCTCCATGTTCAACCACTTAGCCAGCAATGCTGATAGCACTACCTAAACTGCTTGTTATTGCCAAGCTAGTGGAGCTGGCTGGAAATAATAATGCCCCCTATTAAATTATTCATGGCTCCAGTCAGGTGGAACCAGATGCTGCTTTTGTGTCATAGAGGGAGAGCTGTAACTCGACTCAAGCATGGAAGGCCATCGCTGCATGGAGGTAAAGGCTTCATGGAACAAGCGTGGATGCTGCTGGGCTACAAACAAAACACAGGATGTCATGACACTCGCTTGGCTGTTTCCATGTGACATTTTCCTGCAACTGCTCAGACAGAGGACGATGGTTCAGTAGGTTGGTCCAAATGGGGGCAAAGCCTGAGGTGCTGCTCGCAGTTCACCCGCCCTGTGCTGGTGTCGCTTTGTACCCCACCCTGACATTTGTGGCCGTGGCCAGGAGATGACCTTTTTTGTCCATGCCATGCTTTAGTGCTGAATACTAATGCTATGGTGCTCTGTGCCCGCCACTCATGGGAACAAGCAGTGCTATTTTTAGCTGCATGTCCCCAGCTGCACATCTCCAACCCGGGGCCAATGGGCAATTAGTGTTTGTTTCTAATGGCAGGAGGCAGTGCCGTAACCTCCGCAACGCAAACAGACATCTGCACTGTCTCCGTCCTGCCCCGTACCCCTGCTGGAGGGCACGACTCCCACAGCCATGTAGTCCCTCCGTCCACCTGAACCTCCATAGGTGCTGAGAAACCCCTCACTCCAACATTAGCTGCCATTCACTGTGGAAACCACTCGACTTATTTACCTACCCATGCAATAATTTGTGGTTTTGGCTGACAATGATGTCGTCCTGTGTCGGAGTTTAGTACAAGTAAGTACAAGTGACTCGTTTTAAGTACAAACACCTACTTGTTTGTCAAAGGGGCCATTAATTTTAATCATCCACAAACTGTTTCTCAGAATGCTGCCATGAGTTATTCATAGAGCTGCAACTAACAATTAATTTCATTCATATGTCAATTAATCCACCAATTAATTAAAAATGCCCACCACAGTTATTTGAAGTCTAACGCTGGCCTTACACCAAACAACTTTTCTTTTCTTTTTTTTTTTATTCTCCTTTTCTTTAGGCAAAGACTTTCCATCAGACAAACTGGAACTGAATAAATTTCATAGGATGTAGGAGAACTGGATTGAGTACATATCAGCAAGCAGATCGGACTTCATGTGAGAGAATGGGTAAACTGAAAAATCCCTTGTGTCATTGTTATAGATTTCTGAAATGTTCCATAACTTGTTTGCATATGATGTGCATGAGGGGTCTAAAATGACTGATTGAAGAGGAGTAGACATATAGGGATATGTAAGCGTAGGTAGATTATGTATATGAATAAATGAATACTAAATGTATGTATATATATATGTACAGTACAGGCCAAAAGTTTGGACACACCTTCTCATTCAATGCGTTTTCTTTATTTTCATGACTATTTACATTGTATATTCTCACTGAAGGCATCAAAACTATGAATGAACACATGTGGAGTTATGTACTTAACAAAAAAAGGTGAAATAACTGAAAACATGTTTTATATTCTAGTTTCTTCAAAATAGCCACCCTTTGCTCTGATTACTGCTTTGCACACTCTTGGCATTCTCTCCATGAGCTTCAAGAGGTAGTCACCTGAAATGGTTTCCACTTCACAGGTGTGCCTTATCAGGGTTAATTAGTGGAATTTCTTGCTTTATCAATGGGGTTGGGACCATCAGTTGTGTTGTGCAGAAGTCAGGTTAATACACAGCCGACAGCCCTATTGGACAACTGTTAAAATTCATATTATGGCAAGAACCAATCAGCTAACTAAAGAAAAACCAGTGGCCATCATTACTTTAAGAAATGAAGGTCAGTCAGTCCGGAAAATTGCAAAAACTTTAAATGTGTCCCCAAGTGGAGTCGCAAAACCCATCAAGCGCTACAACGAACCTGGCACACATGAGGACCGACCCAGGAAAGGAAGACCAAGAGTCACCTCTGCTTCTGAGGATAAGTTCATCCGAGTCACCAGCCTCAGAAATCGCAAGTTAACAGCAGCTCAGATCAGAGACCAGATGAATGCCACACAGAGTTCTAGCTGCAGACCCATCTCTAGAACAACTGTTAAGAGGAGACTGCGCTAATCAGGCCTTCATGGTCAAATAGCTGCTAGGAAACCACTGCTAAGGAGAGGCAACAAGCAGAAGAGATTTGTTTGGGCCAAGAAACACAAGGAATGGACATTAGACCAGTGGAAATCTGTGCTTTGGTCTGATGAGTCCAAATTTGAGATCTTTGGTTCCAACCGCCGTGTCTTTGTGAGACGCAGAAAAGGTGAACGGATGGATTCCACATGCCTGGTTCCCACTGTGAAGCATGGAGGAGGAGGTGTGATGGTGTGGGGGTGTTTTGCTGGTGACACTGTTGGGGATTTATTCAAAATTGAAGGCACACTGAACCAGCATGGCTACCACAGCATCCTGCAGCGACATGTCATCCCATCCGGTTTGCGTTTAGTTGGACGATCATTTATTTTTCAACAGGTCAATGACCCCAAACACACCTCCAGGCTGTGTAAGGGCTATTTGACCAAGAAGGAGAGTGATGGAGTGCTGCGGCAGATGACCTGGCCTCCACAGTCACCGGACCTGAACCCAATCGAGATGGTTTGGGGTGAGCTGGACCGCAGGGTGAAGGCAAAGGGGCCAACAAGTGCTAAACACCTCTGGGAACTCCTTCAAGACTGTTGGAAAACCATTTCAGGTGACTACCTCTTGAAGCTCATGGAGAGAATGCCAAGAGTGTGCAAAGCAGTAATCAGAGCAAAGGGTGTCTATTTTGAAGAAACTAGAATATAAAACATGTTTTCAGTTATTTCACCTTTTTTTGTTAAGTACATAACTCCACATGTGTTCATTCATAGTTTTGATGCCTTCAGTGAGAATCTACAATGTAAATAGTCATGAAAATAAAGAAAACGCATTGAATGAGAAGGTGTGTCCAAACTTTTGGCCTGTACTGTATGTAAGTACTGAAAGTATGCAGAGGGACAAATAAGTTAGGATATGCCTAACTTAATAATAAATAGTCTGCAGGATAAAAGGGATTGACTTTTGAAGCACTTTCATTCTCTCAGAAAATTTTCTAATGTCGGGAATAAAATCCTGAGTTTACCTTAGTTGGTGCGCGCTCCTTTGATCTTGATTGTTTGGTGTAAGGTGATATAACTCAGCCCAAGCTGTCTAAAGGCAGTCTTTTTCTCATCTTGCCGTTCTGACAAATCAAGCATGTTTATTATTATCTTAAGTTTTTTGTCTTGGCTCATGGAAATAGTGAAATACAATGACATGAACACTGTCAACACCCAATAGCAGCAAACCAGGCAGACAGTAAACATGGAGGGGGTTCTGGGGAGGCGCAAGAATGTCAACAAGTATTGGTTTTCTTGTACTGTGAAAAAGTAGGAGAAACTGGTGGGGTTGTGGAAAGAACAAGGGTCTCCTCCTGCTTAAATGGTGAACTTAGCAACTGTGGCTGGTAGTGAGCTAAGGCGACAAATTCCAAAATGAAAAGGCCGTAAGCAAACACAGTTTATATTTGTAAACCATATTGATGCCAAATTGATGAGAATGCTGTCGACATATGATGCCTTTTATTTTGTTTTTCTAGAGTTCCGTGTTTTTACAGACACGTGAAGAATTGTTTATATGTCATATTTCCTAAAGGGAGTTTGGCATAATATTTTCCACCAGGAGCAGGATGGTAAATAATCTCAAAAGGAATGTAGTTGCAGTCTCGCAAATAGTGACCTTGCAAGATCTCCAGTCTTTGCAACATCTTTTAGTGTGTGACTACTTGATGTGAAACAGTGTCAGACTGTATCAAAGTCTTTTCGAAGTTGTCTCATGTATGGTAGGTATTAGGTGACTGAACACACTACTGAAAAGCCAGAGCTTCATAAAGTTCAATAATTTTTCTTAAAGATATTTTTTGGGCATTTTTAGCCTTTATTTGATAGGACAGACAAGTGTGAAGGGGGAGTGACATGCAGCAAAGGGCCACAGGCTGGAGTCGAACACGGGCTGCTGCGGCAACAGCCTTGTACATGGGGCGCCCGCTCTACCACTAAGCCACCAACGTCCCCCAATAATTTTTTCATCATTTCGCTCAAAGTTATTA